ATAGCTATTTAGATGGGTAGCTGGAAAATTTAATACCACTTTTCATAAAATACTGCAAGTGCCCTTTTTTCAAAACCTTCAGGCAGATGGTCCTTAAAACTGTACACCCCAGCTCTGAGAAGATGCTTTGCATAAATTTTGCTTGAAGAATAGAGTTCTGACCAGCATAACTTTGCTAACTAGCAAGTGACTGATCTGCCATATGAACTTGCTGTGGACTTGTGTCTGTAACTGTAGGGAAAAGTTGTGTTGGAAGCAAGGGAATCAACAAAAATGATTGCTACCTCATACAAAATTGTTAATTAAGGAATAGCAAAAAAAATCATACTAATATTTCCCCCGATGCAGATTTTTGATAAAGTAAGATTTAAGTTGTTAAGCACATCCTATACCAGTTCTTGGTGGAGAAAAAAAAAGCGTTGCATATTCATAAATGCTCTCTAAGAAATTTATTTGAGGTTGCAAAATAAAACTACCAGTCATTTTCTGCCAAGAAGAAAGAATAAAGTAATTTCTTAATGAACTACTTGTACAAGCAATCAAGCTCTTACCTGAGGAGAAATATTTTAATATGTATATAACAAAATATAAATAAAATAAATATTTTGGGGTTTGAAGTTTTTTTTAATTTATCGACATGAACTTCCCTTTTAATACATCTGTATAGATAAGGAGAGGGGGAAGGAACGCCACCCCCCTCTCCCCTCCAAATTTCTCCTACCTTTTGTAGGAGATCTGTGCATTTATCATTCAGGTAATAAAACCTCCTATTGTAGATGTGACAGTACCAGGTTTATAATTTTATCATATGAATGGGTCTTTTTTCTTGAATTCTGCTTTCATACTTCTAGACCTGGTCTTTCCCAGCTTTGATAGTCGCTGTTTCCTCACCTGCCTAGGAAAGATATTCCTAACAGTTGGCTTAGTATCCTGTCGTACAGAAACTACAGTTAAATTTTATCTTATGTCAGCAAACCAACAGTACCACTCAAATGTGCTGTTTATCAAGCTGCCTCCTGGTCACAGTTGAAAACCGTGGTGTTGGATACGTCCCTTGCCGTAGTGAGTACGGAACAGTTTACACAAGCCAAACGAGCAAAAGAGTAAAATGCTCCTCCTGGGCATTGGGTTTGGTAGGCCCAGCTCCGCAGTCTGAAGTGTGTTCACCAAAGCAGCTTGTCCTTTTCCCCAGATCAGTACAATACTGTGTTCTCTCTGCTGCATTCTCGCAGCACAGCTTCATCAGCTAATGAATTATGTATTGCTGTCCATAGCAGTCTTGCAAAGAAAGCAGCAATACAATAAAACTGCGTAGAACAGTAATCTTCCTTGGCTGCTTTATTTCAGATATGTGTGTGAGTGGAAGAGGTGAGGAAAAATCTCATCAGCTGTAGGAGATGGCATTCGTGGTGCAGGAAGCAATCTTTCACTTCTCTGCTTGTTTTCCCTTTTTTTCAGTTGTATCCTTAATAACAAATTGCTATTCCACGGTGATGCCGGAGATCAAATACGCTGTTTAAAATAGTCGTTATCCACTTAAGCTCACAAAATCTCTCCTTTATGTTAGCTACTTTACTCCAGCTAGATTACAGAGTCGTTTCACTGTAATTTGATCTTCGAAGCAGCACTGGAGTTTTTAGCCGAAAAACACCTAATACTTGCTTTTATTCCTTTAGAAAGTATTTGTACTAATGTTTGCAAAGAATGGTGGTTCTTTTGTATACCAGAGGTTTCACTTGAGATTTTGGATAAAAGACCTAAGTGGACAGCCCTGCTGTGGTATGAAGTTCTTAGGAAGGTTCCTTTGAGAAAAACAGACATGAAATGATGTTGGAAGGAACAGGTGTGAGCTAGATGCCAATGAAAAACATATAAACGCTATATAAAGTTTTGAAACTATTTTACTCTTTCAAACTCTTACACAAACAATAGCAAACATTAAAATGATTTTTTTTTCTGCTGTTGGTTTAACTCTCAGTAGGGGACAGATGAGAGGGGGACAGAAGCAGAATCGAAGCTTTAGTTTTTGCACGTAGCTGCACAGTTCTGACCCAAATCTGCTGAAAATTTGTAGACGATTGTGACTGAAACCCGCTAGGATTTGGGGGGAGGAGAATCTTTCGTAACTATAACATTACCATAGTGTTTGTGCTAGTGAATGCTAAAGCCCTCAAGTGATTTTACATATCCTCAACCAGAAGCTCTAAGAGAAGCCTCAGTTACCGTATATCTAGCTGTAAAACGAGAAAGGAAACCCATCAGTCTTCTCTCAGACCTGCAGCAAGACTGGGAGTGAAACAGCATTGCAGTTGGTTTTGCTTGTTGTTTTTGAGCTGTACTTAAGAATAAAGTAAAATTAATGTGAATAGTTTCAGAGAGGAAAGACTTCCACTTGCAATTTCTAATACTAGTACAATTGAGAATAATAGCTATTTAGATGGGTAGCTGGCAAATTTATTAAAACTTTTCATAAAATACTGGAAGTGCGCGTGAGTACATGTGAGAGGAGGAGGTGGCATAAATTGAAAATGCAGTTTTAAAAGGGAAAGAAAAGGAAGGTAGGCTCATGGGACTGTTCTGGAGCTGGTATTTCCTATTTGCCAATTAAGGGTACTTCTTTAGTTGTCAGACACTTTCATGATGTCACACTGCACAATTGTAGTAAACATCTAAGCAACTGTAGGAGAAAATAGTTTTCTTCAGTGAATGTATAAAGTGGACGTCAGCTTGTGTCCCCCATCACCTCCCAAACAAAACCCCCAAATGGCTTTAGCGTGGATAGCTGGTCTTTGCATCCCTCCTTTTGCTTTACACAGCTGACCTTAATGCTGGTTTAGAAATAACATGCGTCATTCCACGAGGGTCAGTGTGGGGGCAAGAGGGCTAGGTCTGAGCTCAGACAGAAGCCCTGCTGGGCTGCTTCTGCATGCAGCCAGAAGATGTCTCTGGCTTTCTCTAACTCTTCTGGTATCGAGGCGGTGATGGAAGGATGCGGGAGCTGAGGCAGCCTGCAGCCAGCATCAGTTCAGTCACTGAGCCATCCTGAAGCAGATATGTAGGCTCTGATGGTGACTTAGCCCAGGAAGCAAGACCGCTGTAGCTTGTTACACCCTGCCAGCCTCAAGCTGGCTTTGCTTGTTAACCCACTGTGGTTCATCCAGCTTACCATGTGTGCAGATATGAGTGCAGGTGTGACACCAGCCACGTGGGAAACTTTGAAGTTAATAAAGCAGTGTGTCTGTGGAGTTCAGATGCCTCTATCTGTAGTCAGCAGCAGAGTGAGGCTTCCGTGATTGAATGTATTTGTAAATGCACATTTCTTATGAAGTCCTGCTTTAAATACCCTTGAGCTTGCTTTTTTTTTCCCCCCTTCTTTCCCTTTTTTTTAAACTATGATTTAACTTTCTAAGAACTCCCTTTTCTGGAGTTGGGGTTTGAGTTTTTGGAGGGTGGTTCCAACAGGACTATCCCTCGGTGTTATCAGAGGAAACCAGCATGGATAATTTCAATATTCATTATAGCAGAATTTTGTGAGGAAAAAAGTTTAATCTGGCAGACGCTTCTGAATACAGCACTCTTGAGCTGCTTATTTGGTTTGAGAGGGACTTCTCTTTATTAAGTAATAAGCATTTGTAAGTTTAGGTTCTATAGGTTTGTAGTCCTACAAAAGAGGAACAAAAGGACGCTCATTAATTTTCTGTGCTTAAATGTTCTCAGGTTTACAGAGGAGGAAGCTGGATAGAAACTCAGTGTTGATGCTCATTTGTTAATGGTTTTTAGTAGCTAGTTGCACTATAGTTTGTTTTTGAATCATTTGATGTAATATTTTAACAGGGGCTGTTAAAAGCTGGCATCATCTTTTGAAGGTTAACGGGGTTACCACAGGTGCAGTCATAAAACTAGGGACATGTCTGTTGTGACAAGCCTTTGGTATTTTAGCCATGTTCATTAATTTTACAAGGAAAGAGCTCTGGTAAATTTAAATAAATATGGGGTAAGTAATAAGCATTTGTAAGTTTAGGTTCTATAGGTTTGTAGTCCTACAAAAGAGGAACAAAAGGACGCTCATTAATTTTCTGTGCTTAAATGTTCTCAGGTTTACAGAGGAGGAAGCTGGATAGAAACTCAGTGTTGATGCTCATTTGTTAATGGTTTTTAGTAGCTAGTTGCACTATAGTTTGTTTTTGAATCATTTGATGTAATATTTTAACAGGGGCTGTTAAAAGCTGGCATCATCTTTTGAAGGTTAACGGGGTTACCACAGGTGCAGTCATAAAACTAGGGACATGTCTGTTGTGACAAGCCTTTGGTATTTTAGCCATGTTCATTAATTTTACAAGGAAAGAGCTCTGGTAAATTTAAATTAGCATTAAAATATGGGGGGGGGAGGAAGTATTTAGTCATTTTTAGTGAGTAGATTGAGATTATTTTTAGCATAAAGACAAATTATTAATCATCCTCATAAGCAGTTTTTCCTCATGTTGACACATTAATTCTCTAGTTTAATTTTGTGTTATCCCATTGATGGTAATGGTACTGCTAATTCACCCTTCCAGACTTTAAACATTGAATTTTGCAGCTTTTTGTTTGCTTTCTTTTCTGTTTTGTTTTACACTGAATTATTTGTCATGTTGACTAATGTTGTTCTGCTGTATTTTCATCTCTTGGGTAGCTATCTGTTCTCTCTTGTTTTGTACTTAGATTATATAGTGTAGGGCTAGAATTCATCTTTTTGTTCTGGATTTGTACAACTCTGTATCAGCAAAGCATGAGCCCCTGCGTGGAGTTCGTATTGAGTATGAGTTCAGATAACGGATGTTCTGTTGTAGTTTGACAGTCCTTTCCCATTAGTATTAGAAATTGAACTGTGTGACCTATAAGACCTAGCAAATTGGCTGTAATACCAGAGTTTCCTCCTTTACATGTAAGTATATTATTTATGGCATAATGAAGCGTGATTATTGTCTAAACACTTTCCTATATTGAATACTAATCTGCAGAGAATGAGTGGCAGCCAGGAAAAGCAATGCTGGTGGGAAAAGGCGCTCTATTCTCCCCTTTTTCCTGCATCACAGTGTGAAGGTAAGAAGCTCTGCCTGTTTGAACTAACTTGCTGTTGCACCTGTGTTAGAATGAAATGCTCTTTCTCAAGGATTTGAATTTTTAAAAAAAAAAAACGGACAGTAAACTTCCACAATAAATTCTCTTTTCTGAGAGAGAACTGGGATGCTTCAGTTACATTTGTAATAGATCTCTAGCATGCTTCTAAATAGTTTTTAAATGAAAGTGCTTTTAAAATAGTCTTCACATTTATACAGATTTACTTAATTCCAGAGCCTGGAATTAAGTAAATAGAATATTAATCTCTGACTCTGAAAATACTTTATTACATTTTTGAGTATGTTTCAACCTGAATAATACTTAATAGGTAGCTAATTTTATAAGAATGTGGAAACATGATAATTGCCTTTTATGGGTTCGCATAGATAACATGCCAGTTATTCAGTGAATGTGTGGAATTTCTCTCAAGCTGGGAAGGAGAGGGATTTGCCTCTTGGCCACTCCTTTCACGGTGACAGTCTGGGAGTTTTTCTGTCCCACACGGAGAGTAAGTCCTGTCTTGGTAGGCAGGCTGCTCGCAAGCGGAAGCAGGTGTGCTTCCAGCACTCTCTCTTGCTTCCCAAGTATTCGTAGCATCTGACAGCTGGCCCAAGCCCAGCTCTTCAGTGGACAGGCAAGAATCCAGACAGCTTTTTTTTTGCCTGCATACCAATTTACCTTTTCTGGGGCGAAGGCAAGAAGCTCAATAAGAACATTCTGTATACCGAATTGACAGGCTATCTGATGCTTTCTGTTGGTAGAGGCTCAGTGCAAGAAACTTCTGGTCAGAGACCTGGTTCCTTAATAATCTGGAAGTAGATTAGCCAGTAATTATTACTGAACTATTTTTGGAGTGCACCTTAAAGCACAACCAACTAAACGGTGTTCTTAGTGCCTAAATGCCCTTACTTTGGTGTTTAGGACAGTTTGGGTTACTTTCAAGAACATCTTAACTTACTCCACTCCCAACTATAGAAATGTGTTTGCACAGTGGAAGAGAATAGATCGATGCCTATGGGACTGTGGTTTGCCTCCCATATTAGACTAAACCTCAGTATTTACAAAGTAGAGATATTTAGTGTCCTTTTTTCCCCCACAGTGATAACTGCAGAGGTATTATTGGTGTACTAGCAAATGTAGTGACTCACACTCTTGAGTATGTATTTTACACAGAGTAATCCTTGAATTCCTGTGAGTGAATTGTGTCATCTTTTTGCTGACATCTGCTGGTGAACCTGCGTAACTCTCTCAGTGGTTCACCACCTTATTTCATAAGTGGAAGACAGAATATACAGTAAAAAATACTATGGAGCCCAGAACCTGCTTGGTACAGTGGCAGAATTTCTCTGAAGTAGAATAGTTCCAGGATTTCCTCTTTTAGACTAAGCTTAACAAAGCTAGAGCTTTATCCGCAGAGCTAATGCTATTTTTTCACAAATCTTTAGCTGTATCCAGTTTTCTTATGGGTATTTTTTATATAGGATATTGATGCATGTGATCGATATATATCGATATATGTTGATATTATATATGGAAGTTTACTCTGGTAAGTAGAAATCACAGCCATTCACGTCAACTGTTTTTTGGGGGGTTTTTTTGAGCTTCAGTCAGAACCAGGCTGCTGTTGCAGTATATTTTGTATGGGTATAGAAATAGGAATGATCTAAAACACCGTGCAGTTATCAGAATTGAAAAATGTACTGAACCATCTATAATAAAAAAGTAATTATTGCTCTTTGTACCTTACTATTTTAGATGTTTTCATTAACTAAGTAGCTTCTTTTTTTATTTTTTGGTTATCCAGGTAAGATTTGATGAAGCTTCCATAAGGTATTATGCTTCTCTCTTTAAGGATGTCAAAACTATAAAAAACCCCCACAAGCACAGATTTACATGGCTTAGAGTGTGAATTTCAAGAATACTTCTCTAGATGCTTTCGTTTTGGCTAAATGTAAATAACAGTGTTCCTCAATTCTGTTTTTTCTTCCTTTTTCCTCTGAAACACCCCCACAAACACAATGTAAGAATGTTATACAGATGCCAAGGGAGAGAATGGTGTAGGAGAATTTGCAGATGTAAAGGAAATATCCAATGATGATGAACATCTTTTAGATTTTAATATGGTAAGTGTGTCATTGGTTTGGGGAGGAGTTTCTTTGTTTATTTTATAAGGGTATGCCACCGCGTCTTTCCTTTCATGACAGTCTAGCCTCAAATGAAATTCCTATGAAAACCTTCAAAAGCTTTTCTTTCCTTACTTTGTGTTTTAATCTCTTCTGCGTCTTGAGCATGCGTCTGAAAACTCCTCAGTGTTGTACTTTGGGGAGTACGGCCCTTTGTACAAAGAGTTGTACTTCTAGTAGTTAAGCAAACTCAGTTTCCTTTGGGAACACTTGGCTTTGGCTTGTCTTGTGGGTTAAACACTAGGCTCTTTTTCCTTGACTTCTAATTTCAGTAAGCACAGAGTGGGCTGACGTGCACTATGAAGGCAGAAAGGACCGGTATCTAAAGGCTTGAACATAATGTATGCTGAATTCTGTCCTGCTTACGAACAAAAACCTGATTTTTTTGCTGTAGGGAAGATCTTTGTGTACATGTGCACTTACTGATAGTGTTAAACTTTATAGTGATGATAGCACCTAAATTTACACTGTGACCGGCTTGTTACAGCTTTACTGATTCAGCTGAAAATACATTGGTTTTGCTTGAAGTTTAGTCAGATCTGTGCTGTGTTTTCTTGATATTTAATACTTACTACCAAATTTTGGAGATAACTTTTACGGTAATTTTCTAACATGCATTCTGACAGAGTTCACTTTTAATTCTCTTGCTGTTTTGTGCAAATCCTAAAATGAAGGAATAGGAAAAAATAGTAAAGGCCTCACCTTTTTTTCCTGCTGTTCTGCAGTCCTTTCTACGTAGTGGACTAAGTCAGGAAAGTGGAGGACTTGCCCTGTAACCGTGACATCTCTCTTGAACAACTACAAAACTATATAACCTCCCAGCTCAGAAAAAAGCAAGCGTGATTTTTATTGTTCCCCATCAACACTGTCAGTTTAAATCCTTAGGTTTCTTCTGTTTATGAAGCAAGATGTGCAGATGATATAAATGCTGAGGCAAAACCAAATGGCTTCAGGAAGAAGATCTACTCCAGTGATAGCTCCAGCTCTGAAGACACAGCTTCAGAAGGTGGAAGTGAATGGGCTGATCCGTGTGAGGAGGAGCTTTTTTCTCGAACTCAACTATAAAAACTGCAGAGTAGAACAGATGATTGAAAAGTAACATGAGATGGAAAACTATCCTTCTTGAGGGTCTGTAGCTCTAAAACAACAACTTGAGTTTCCTCTTCAGTTAATGGATTCAGATGTGTATTTATCTTTCTCTTCTTGCTTATTTTATAGATGAGGACACAGCTGTCCTGTTGAAGATTCCCCCCTCCCCCCCAAAAAAAAAACCCTGTTAAATTCTTGGCTATTTGAACTAGACTAGATTGTGTTGTCAAATCAAGAATGGATGTGCATGTGCTTGTCTTAGTAGTACCACTGCTTTTTTGCATCTTAATTGCAGTTATTTTCATTCGTAACTGTAGCCCTACCACTATTACTATCTTCTTAGCATCGCAGTGTCTACAACTACTTCTGCTATTCAGCGACTTCAGCTTTCTGCACATTAGGCTTTGTTCTTTAAGAACTGGGAGATAAATACTTAACACTGTAATCTATCAGTGCCTTTCTGAATGCAGGAGAAAAGCATGAATGACTTGTCCAGTCTTCATTCGGTAAATCTCGTAACTTTGAAGTAGGAACGACAGGGTTGTGCTTTAGAGACTTACAGAAACTGTGTTTTCTATCCTATGATTCCCCCCTCCCGCAAACCAACACTGAGGATACCATGGTTTGTATTTTTGCTAACTGGAGAAGCCAAGGATTTTTTGTAGGTATGGAGGCAATGTGGGGTTTTTTTTTTCCTTTTTTTTTTTTCTTTTTTTTTGTCCTTTTTAGCAACTTGCCAATGTGGGGCAGATGTTTAAAAAGTAACACCAAAAATAATAAACCACTGGGGCGATGTGTGGATTGTTGTGAATTTTGTAACGAGTAATGAGAACGTTGTCTTGTTGCAGATGATGGCATTGATGTAATCTGCAAAAGCATCCTGTACTGAACTTGAGCCTGAATGACTGAAACTATCTAAAATGCTCAGAGCGTTCAATGTTTTAAATGCAAAGGGTCAGTGCTTCACTTGAAAGAAATCCTGTGGCTGCTGCCGTTAGCTGCTGTTGTGGCTGATTTTTTTAAATGCAAAGGGTCAGTGCTTCACTTAGAAATCCTGTGGCTGCTGCAGTTAGCTGTTTTTGTGGCTGTAATTTAGTAAATCTCGTAGTTCATTTTGTGTTTCTGAGAGAATGTGTGGGGCAAGTTATGTGTGTGGTGGGGGGGTAGGGAAAGTGATGACTTACAACATACATGTGTGATTGCAGTAGTGACTGTTGCTTTATGTGACTTGCTTTTAAATTTTATTTTGTTAACTTAGAAAGTCAATACATTGTCAAGTTGCATCTGTACAAGACTATCAACTCCTTGTGCTTTTAACACATTATGCAAAACGTATAAGCCAGGAGGAGCAATATTTGCAAAACGAAACGTTCTAAGTTTTTACCAACTCACAGTTTAAAAAACAACAACAACAACAACAACTAACTAGTCTATACAATAGCAGCATGTCTACAACATCGGGAAGTGCAGAAAGTCCAATACTGACTTGAAAAGCTTACCCATTAATTTTGACAGGCAATAAACCTCATGAGAACTATAGCTGTTTTGAAATGTGAGCTGAACTGCCTTTGAAATATGTTCTGTGCTAGAAGGGTTTTCTGAGTAGCTGGGTTTTGTTGCCTTTATTCAATTGACAATGTAAGAAGTGAAATACGTGGTTGGAAAACCATGCCATTCTTTGTGCAACGCTTCCATTGAGATCCTTACTTAAAATTGGCTTGGTTTGTCCTTACCCAGGGGCTTTCTTTTGGTCCTCCTCTTAGACTATGTTTTAGGGTTTGTATTCATACAACAAATCTTTTGACACTTTACAGTTTCTTAATTTATTTGCAGACTTTGGATAGATTTTTATATATTTTACTTTCTTCTGGAGCTTCCTTGAGAGGTTGTTTAGCACCTGCACTGAGAACTAGTTAACTGTAACATGAAAGTAAAAAAGAATTTTACACACAAATTCTTCAAATCACTACAGTGAAGAATGGAATGGAACTTCAATCGAGAACAAGAAATGACCAAATGGACATATTTCAAACACAAACTTCAGCTCAGTTAATTTTGGCTAGAGCTGCTTCTTTGGTAAGAAAGGGCTCAAAACCAGCAAAGGTGTTGCTTTTAGTTACATTGTGGCATGTAATAATTCCAGCACCTTTGGGGAAGATAAAAATCGTATCTTGAGCTTGGGCAATAACCAATTGTCTTTACTTGTTTTCATAGTTTAATGGCTAAAGCTCTAAAGCTTTCGGTGAGAGTTGAAGTGTGGTTTTTAGTTTTTCTGTATGGATAGAAACACACAACAACAACAACAACAACAAAAGCATTAAAGGTTGGCATACGCTGAACCGCACTGTGGTATGAAGCGCATTGCATATCCATAGCACTGAAGTATCAGTTTTCCATTCCTGGGCTGAAATTTGTTCTACTTTTTGCTTCAAGTGGTTGTATTGTTCTGATTTCACGTACACCAGAGTAACTGATTTTGTTTTCTTGTGGAGTTACTTAACACCGAATAAAAATATAAAAGGACAATTGGATGGCGTGTGTGTGTGTTCATTTTCTTTGTCTAACGTAACAATGACTTAGATAGAACACAGCAGTTAAGCATTAAACATTCTGGCAAGAGAGCATGAGGTGTGTAATTTGCGAGTCCTTTTCATTGCTATGATTTTTTAATCTATTTTTTATTCTTTTTCAATACAATGCAGGAAAATTAAATACACTGCGTATGTTCTTGAAAAAAAAAAGACAAGCAAACATAATAAGCTTAGTCCCCACTTCAATTATTTCTGTAGAAAATGTCATAATCTTATTCCAAAAATTAATTTGTAATGACAAATTTCCCCCCCCTCTTTCAAAGGGGGGGGGGGAATTAAAACCCAGACAAACCCAGACCCTCTCTCACATATCAGTCAAAGTTACAGAGTACAGGATCTAAACAAGCAGACTTTATTTCTGCTTTCAACTTGTGCTCAGCCATCAAATGGTCAACATCTCACTTCTACTTTCAGAAAAACTGCATCTGTGACAAGCAAATGCATACTCCTAACCCCATGGCCGGACCCCTTTTCATAAAAAGGAGAACAGACAGACCCAGTTTTGAACAGCTCACATTCAGCTTGGTGGAGACGTGCATTACGTTGCTGCAAGTTTACAGCCATAGTGACTTGGGATTCTGTGTAGAATGATTGCAACTCCCCTGAATTAGAAGTGCAACGAAAACAGCACATAAATACACACTTGGGAAATAATGGAAAATAGTTGTTCTGTAAGGTCCTTGGGTGAATGCTTTTGTTCGTTAGTATCTAGCATGCTTTAAACTTTGTAGTTAAAACTTTCAAAGGCATAAATTATTTTTAATTATTTCTTAAATACAGCAGGAGGAGTGTATTTTCATTGTGTTTATAGAAGATGCTTGATAAAAGAATTAAATTTGGCCAGCCAGGCCTTTCAGTTGTTCTATCTGAATTATTAACTCCACATATCCCAAAGAATTCGTTTCCAATGTAAACAATGCTTCTATCATGCAAAAACCACTGCACAGTCCTTGGCAGCAATTGCATCTGTCAGTGGTAGGGCAGGCTTTAAATGCATGTCAAACTATGACTTCATGGGAGTGCTGTCCGCAGTGAAAATACATGGAAAGGTACTGCAGCTCCGGGAGAGCCAGTCTTCCCAGGATTCCTTGACAGTATAACTCATCCTTTTCCTGCCAGGACCAGCATATTTAAGTATTATCCCCAATGAATTTGTCATCCACCTTTCACACACAGCATCTCCCATAATTTTCTTTTATGACCTGTGAAACTAGGAGCAACAAGGCTCCAGAGGTTCGGGACTAAATGAAACTTAACTGATACATTTTAGCTTTCTACAGTAAGATCCCTTTTCCAGTGTTCAAGTTGCTTTTAAAATGTATTGTAATATGCAAGTGCTTATAAATTTTATGAGCTACCTCTATGCTCCAGTATGATGATAATGGGATTAAAAGAAAAAACAAAGCTGACAGAGCTGGTGGTGGGTCAGCATGCTGCCAAGAAAAAGTGACTCGGTGGCAAAACATTGGTTTCCCTGCCCTACTTCATCGTTGTGTAAGGCTTCACCCATAAAGAATGCACTGAGCACAGAGACTGAGATGACAGACTTCCATGTACGCTACCTTCTCCTACCTGACAGCCTTCCTGTAGGGCAAGTGCTTCTGGAAGAACTGTATCTGTTACTGTAACGTATTTGCAACCGTAGAACCCAGTTAATCCAAGAACAAAAACAAAGGTGCAAAAACAGTAGTAAGTCTCTCTTTCCCTGTCACTACAAGGCAAGGTCACTTTTATTAACAACAGTAGCAGCTATATAATATTGCTACAATTGCTTTTCACATAAAGATTTTAGAAATTGTTAATGAAGAAGGCTTAACTGCCCATCGTTTCTGTGTAGGTCTTATTTTACTCGCTACAAGAAACGGAGACAGTGAGATGTAGCAACTCTCCTTGTATTGCAGAACTGAGCAGTTTCAAATTCTTGAATTTCTTCTAAAATCAATCTAAGCAATCAAGCCTGTTAAAAAGTATAATGAGTATATTTTCGTATTCATTTCAGTGCTTTTCTTGTCTGTAGCCAGGGAAATGCCTGAGCAAATGGCACGACAGGACAGTAGCAGTACTGAAAGCAAATACATAAACACTAGAATAGGCTACCTAAAAAAGGATTCCACTTCCACAATTACAGATTTTTAGGAGCACATTAGACAAATGTGTCAGAAATTATGCAGGCATGTATACATACATCCTGCCTCGAGGAAGAACGAGGAACTAAGTGATCTCCGGATTTCTCTGAATCCCGTTTTCCATACAGGAAAAGCTCATATCCAGAAGGGCTATTAAATTGATTCATAGTTTACAGAGAAAAAAGAGCCATTAGACTGCCTATGGGACATTAAAACTTGTGCAGTTTTTCCTTTACTGATCCCAAACTTGTGTTTGAAAAAAATACAACTTGTGTGTGGTTTAAGCCCATGGTCCAAAGAGTAATTTGCCTCATTAATTCCTACCTGCTGTGGTGGGCCACTCTGATCCCTTCCAGATACAAGACAGAAATTGGTATTCAATTTTTCTTTTTTGCACAGTTACTTTATTCATGTAATAATGAATGTTCAGGACTGTTAGCATGCTTTTTGTTCCTAATACCCTTTTGGTAGGATTTTTCCCTTTTTTTTTTTTACATTTCATAACTTCTAGTTTTTGTATTGATGTTTGGCTTTTAATTGTCTTTGCTTTGAGATGGGGTTTTAGCCCATAGTCTTTTGACTCTGGAACCCTTACCTATTTGACAACAAAGTCTTCTTCAAGAAGTCTCAATTGTCATTCATGCTTTTTAAATATTTTTCCTCCGTTTTGCCTGTAATTTTATTCAATACAAAAATATTAAATTCTTTGAAGCACTGCAGATCCATAGAGACATATTACTTGGATCTGTTATCTGCCCAAATTGAATGTTACTTGGTTTCATTCATCATTACTAGTTCTAGACAACAACTCATTTTTAATCCAGTACTACTTTTTTTTCCTAGCGAATTCCAATAGAAAGTTACCACATGTTGGGGGCAATGCCTTTTATGTTACAGA